TCAATACACCTTGTCATCCAGTCGTAGTCTTCCTTCTGAATTTAACGTGATTTTACTTGCTAATCTCGCGACTAGTAGTTTCTGTCTCACTACAGGGACATAAACATTTCTCCTTTGAGGTAGAAGAACAGATGCTTGATTCTATATTGTAAAAAGTGAAGAGCTTTATGACTGTTGTGTTATTAAGAATGACAGGTGACTGAAGAGTTATGCAGCTAAGATATATGTCTGTCTGTAATACGAAATAATACAGTCGATGCACAGCAGTTCAGTCAAAACGCCAACCTAAAAATAGTCCATGATTCTTCTTGTTAACAGTCTCCACATAGCACAGAGAAACCTAATGTGCAATCAAATACAGCAATCTGAAATGTCGTAAGCTGAAAGTTTAACCTCTCATGGCTGTAAAAACTACAGCGTGGAAGCCTCACATAACAACAGGCTGCTAGTTAAAGTAGCCAAGTCTTCGGCAATTATCCGCGGAAACATTTAAGGAACATGATCAGGTGCTGAAAAAGAGAAATGGAGTGAAAGTAGCGAGAATCAGAACAGAAAATATCCTGGTCTAAAGCTGAGTCATAACTGAACAGACACTTGTTGGACAAAACAAGGGTTTGTGTTAGGATATTCATCCAATATCCTAAGAGAATTATTGGTCAATTCCTATTGGTTAATTCCTACTGGTCAATTTTGTGGTCATCCTAGATATCAGTGTCACGTGCTTCAACGTTGTTTCTTACTGGTTGCCCTGACTGTCGAAGTCACTTCAAATGTTGCTTCTTATTGGTCGTTTTAACTGTCAATGTCACAGACTTCGATGCTGTTTTCTATTCCACCCAAATGTATAAACACGCATTATCTGTAACGTTTTACGACCACGACCATGACCAGGGCTCGGTCCCGGATCCCTAGTCCGGGATCCTGACTCTCTTCCGGACTCGGATCTCGTACTTTCTAAATGCTTGTAGAATACAGGTTCTACTTCATATCAAGCTTCCTTCATTTATTGGATGGGGGTTCGGATAATCGGATTGAGTAGCATGTCGCATCACCGGATCCTCGATCCTCGCTCTCGTTTTCTGACTAGGTAAACTCATAATAGTTCAAGCATATCAAAATGACGTGTTTACGTGCAGGCATAACAGTTCGATTACTCAGACCTATCTTTTTCTATATTAGAACACTAACTGTACACCTGAATTTTTGTAGGCTGATAAAGACAACTAACTTCTTTACCGTAAACGATACCGACGAACTAACAAATGCATTTCATCATAAGACCAGAAATATCTCCAACAAATTCGCATCCTTAGGATCCTGGAGACTCAGAATTTCTAAGGACCTAATATACCAGGTCATATACGGAAACGTCCTCAAAGACATGCTTCCAGACTTCATAACCGTAATGGCTTCTCATTAGTTACGATGACAGAAATATGTGTCGAGCAGAAATAATCCGTACGTAAACGGCAATTGCACAGGAAAAGTGTACTGTCTAGCTGAATAATAAATCTTCTCCACCTATTAAAGTCTTTCGAAATAAACTTAAATACCCCAAAGTGAAAGGAGAAAACGTATTTGTAAAGGACAACCAAGTGTATGAAGACGCTAAACGTATCGCAAAGCTGTTTAGTGAACAAACGAAAACCCAATAAATGAATCACAGCTGACCCAAATACCTCCCTGTGAAATCGCCAGTGTAGATTTCAGTGTACAGAACATTTCTAAGGCGATTAGTACACTGAAACACTATTACATTGAAGGACCAGACGGTTTCCCAACCAGCATGCTGAAAAATGGGAGCAGTGATCTGTGTGTTATTCTTCTTAAACTATTTACTACATCACCCTCTACAGTGTTACCCTTATAACAGGAAGACTATATATATATCATTCCCACAATTAAATCTGAATGTACGGCAAATGTTGAAAATTACCGGCCCATAAACAATACATCAGTAGTATCTATGGTGATGAAGAAGGTAGTAAATGCGGCGTTAATACAACACCTACTCAACAACAGTCTCATACTGACCTTACAGCATGGGTTCTTGAGGTCCAGATCATGAGATACACGCCTGCTAGATTGCCTCAATGATATCACTCAAAAACACAACAAAGGGCTTTTGTATCAGTTGTTTTCTTCAACTTTAAGATAGCTATTGATATGGTCCCACACAAAAGGCTTCTTTTTATACTGAAGTCATTCGGAATCAGTAAACCTTTATATTCTTGGTTTTTTTCATTACTAAATGGATGCCCATAAAATGTTCGAATAAACTAGGAACCAATATGCAAAGCCGCTAACAGCAGATAAGGTTTAATATCAGATCGAGCTAACTGACAAGTTTATCTGCGATCGGAAGACCTTATTGAGCCGTACAGTCTCACTTCGACAAAGCAAAGCCGGAGTTTCCCAATTGTTAGGTCCTAGTAGCCCAACCAGCAACGGCGATGAATCCATGGAGCTTCTAGCGGAACAGTATCTTCAAACGTTTAAACCATGTCGCATGACCTACAGTACCCAGAGCTTCACCTGAAACGTTGGAGGGTCATGCCACAGGATGTCCATGTGGAGTCTCTCAGGGTTCAGTGTTAGAACCACTTCTCTTTTTCATCTATATAAGTGAACTTATTCAACAACTTTCATCTGCGTTACTACTTTCCTCTGACGATGTTAAACTTCAGAGAGAAATTTTCATCCGGGAAGATAGGCTGGCTCTTCAGGAGAATCTGACTTCAAAGTTCAGTGAATAGAAAGGGACTTACTTGTAACACTTTATAGTGCGAAGTGTTCCATCTGAGACATGCTGTTGACTATGTTTACAGCTTAGGTAACTCTCCTCTAGAGGCGTTTCAAGTTGAAAAGCACCAAGGAGTCTTGGTAACCTATGGTCTAAAGTCCCACACTAACTTATTCAACCAAACCTTTTACTCGCAAAGCTTATTTTTGGCCAGTTCGCTAATAGACCACTCCACCCACTCCTCAGTTGCTTTATTCGGCCCCGTGATTCCTCCCTCACTCCTATAGGACAAGGATACACAAGAACGTACCCAACATAGGTGAGCCATGAAATATGTCCGCAGACCTAATGAAGGGCGCCTTAAGTCACTGAATATTCAGCTTTTAGAGTATAGGCATCTCAGGGGTGAGATCCTAATGATTCACATCATTTAAAACACTCCTCAGAATTCTCCGAAACACTTACTAAAGCTCAGTCCCAACGAAAATCTTAGGGGAAACATCACGAAAGTAGAGGCATCAAGTAGCAGATTGGACTGCCTGTATACCTTCTACTTTTCTCGAATAGTCAGATTCTGGAATCTGTTACCTACTGAGGTGGTAAAAACGGAGTCCTAGGAGTCTTTCAAAAGAAACTTCATGTTTTCTTCAGGACTGAAGCAAGTATTACTCGTTGAACAGACCTAAGTTCCTACGTGGAGGAGTAGATGATCGATTGCTACTAGATACGGAAGATTGTTAAGCAAAAGCTTCTTCTGTTCCACCCACAGCTGACCCACTTGTATCTTGGCACAGAAACTACCTTGAGAATAGAAAGTTTCAGACCAAGGTAAAAAGAGTGCACGCGAGCTGGCAAGTATATCCACATCGGAAGTTTCACAGGGTACTATCTTAGGTCCATTTCTCTTCCTGATAGTTTTTGACGAACAGTTAGGCTCATTTAGCCCACCGGCATTGATCTACGCGGAGAATACGAATATCTGGAGGTCCATTAGAAGCGAAGAGGATTCGGCTGAGCCTCAAAAGGATCTTACAACTATTAATGAATGGGCAGTTAAAAACGGTTTAAAACTGAACCAACCGTAGTGCCACGTCATGTATATTGTGCCCCACATCACGCAAACGATTTACACCCTTAATGGAAGTCCACTCCCTAATGTCTCTCAAGAGCACGATCTCGGTTTAATAACCACAGAAAGCCCGAACTATATAGGGTGCGCAGCCAAGGCAAATGCGACTCTTCACATTATGCCAAGACCAGTTGGTGGTATCACCCCAAAATTATTCTTAACATTATTCAAGGCATATGCGCGCACACACCTGGAGGTTCACAGCACCATCGCACTCCCTCTGCTTAAAAGAGACAAGTCTCTTGGATCGAGTGCAGAGACGAGCAACGAAATGGATGGTAGCGTTGAAGAATAAACCTTACGAAGATAAACTCAAGTACTTGGGATTATTCCAACTGAGTTGCAGGAGGATCAGAGGTGATTGTGGAGTACAACATATAAAGCACGCCAAACCATCGCAACGCGAGCATATTACCGATGCATCACCACCACTGCCCCCGAAGGAATCCTAGAAAGATTGAGCATCAAAGTGCGAATACTCAGGTTCGTGCACACTTTCTCTCATTGAGAGTCGTCACAACTTCGAATACTCTCCCAGACGAGGTGGTCGCAGCCCCTTCAGCGGAGAGCTTTAAGAAGAGTTTGGACAATCACGTTTTCGTGTACGGATTATTATCTCCCTCTTGGACAAGCTGTGCATGATACATATTTCGAGGCCTGCTAGTTATTATCATTGCCATCTCCTCAAGATCACTCAATTAATCTATTTCACCTACTATCTCTGTTTCCTCTCCCTTGCTTACACTTCGGTCCTCTCTCACTAAATCACATATATATTACGTAGTTCTGAAATCTTATTCATGTTGGCATTAGAATTTTATCCTTATTACTCTTCACACTGCAACTAACTGATCTCGGATCTCGTAATATGATAGCTGCTGGTATCCAGAAACCCTACTTCCCTGAAACGAACGTTTACATTCAAATCACGAGACACAATCTCACAACCAACTGCCAACAGACTAGAATTAAACAGTCGAGTGGCTAGACCCCCATTCGCTGGACGCTAAAAAACACCTGGAACCGTGCCGAAGGAATAAGAATCGAGCGAAAAGAAATCAATTGGTTTATACTGGATCGTCAAAATAAGATATTGGATGTTGAAACTATTGGACCAATTGCAGAATGCGGGTAGTTAGAAATCTCGTTATCGGCGCGTAGCTTGTAGTATGTTGAAATGAAAGATCAGGGATTGGCACTTCACCAGGAGTCTAATAACAAGTCTGAGGAAAAAATACAGAACAGAAAGCGTTCTGGTACGGGATTGGATAAAGCCGCCAGTGGCAATAGTTCAGTCCATGCACCCATAACTTCGTCCAATCGTCATGATCCATTGGCTCATATCATTCGTCTTTCAAATAATCCCAAAGTACCTCGTCCCCCGAAACGCCATTTATGCGATATGATCCACGTTGAGCGTTATGAGAATGGTGGTGGTTATGCTTTGCATTCTTATGCTGATGAGTTAGCTCACCTTACAACTGATGAATTAGCTTTGTTGGCTCGAAAATATTTCAAGATATTATTCACCGAGAGAAGAAAAAGAAGTATTCGTGTCCCTTTTTCCCACTATTGTATCGGCGTTGTTCATGGGGCTGCGAGAAGAATGCCAGAACTGTTGTCATACTTGTCATCTGCCTATCCTAATCTCAATATTTCCACAAATCCTCTTGAACAGAAAAATGCAACCGAAACTTTATCTCTTGCGCAGTATGTGAAAAACGTTCATAAAAGTTATGCGAACGGCATTTATCGGTTCGGGCCGCTGCACGCATTAAGTATCGTTGGTGTTAAGGGTGAGGAACGTGGCGTTTTTGACAAAAGGCTCATTGAGATCATTGAAAAAGATCCATTCCTAAAGCTTGTAACACCATGGGGTGCTTTATCGAGTTTGAGTGGGATGGATCCTCGGGAAAGTAACGATGGACCTATTCTATGGTCTCGTCACGGAGAACAAACCATTCCTTTGTTTCCAACTACTATACGTAACAGGAGACGGTGAGTGTTTGCTTTAGTATATTCCTATGCTTAAATATGTGTATATCTTGATAAATTCATCATTCAAACACTTTTCCGGGGTCGTCACAATGGTAACTTACGATGACATCCAATTACTGATTCATTAACTTAGTTGTCGAAAAATTCCCGTCTCACTTTATGAAACCCAGAAAACCTATGACCAAATAATTTCCGTAAATATTTTTCTTCTACTTCCACTTAACCGTAGAAAGTTTAAGGGTTACCCATACTTTTCTTCTTTTCCTCATGGACTCAGGTTATAATAAAGTATCCTATCAATTTAATACAACTAGTTCTATCGCCATTTCATGACTTTGTATCGAATTTTGTTTATTTGGCAGTGTTATCGACGGTTGTATTACAGACGTGGTTGTCGGTCGCCGCGCACTCAGTGGGCGTCAGATAGCAGTTCATGACAGAACTCCCTGCCACGCTGATCATGCAGATGATGGGTTAGCTCGTCATACTACAGCAGCTGTTGGATTATTAAAAGCAGTATATCCCTGTCGACCTGGAGAAGAGTCGGAATCGTCTGATTCATCTTGTATCCTTCATTCCGAGAGTGCTAACAGTGATTCCAGTTCTAACACAAATCCATATGCTTACAAGCTAAACCAGCCAGCTCGAATAGTCAAAGATGTTGTTGTATTTGATCCACGTCATTATGTTGATCTGATTGAACGATTACGCTTAGATATTATGGAACCTCCCGCAAGCCAGGTATGTCTGTATTTTAAATAAAAAAGTATCGTTTGTTTGTTAAATTACACTGCACATCATTTTCCGCTTTTCCCGACAGGACCATCAATTTTTGAGATAGGAGTAATTCCACAACTAAGGTGAGTGGTGGAAAAAGTACGACTGCATAAATATATATCCTCTACGCGACAGTGAAAGTAACTGTAGTTGTAGTTACTAAGTTCATACCTGATAATTCTGTACAGTCCACTTAGTTGACATCGTCAAACAAAGGTTAGGTAATGAGATATTTGTTTACTACATGAAATAGAATGTACCTAGTTAGTATTTCATGTTTGATACTGAAAGTAGAATGTGATTGCCCATTGAGTGTAGACAATTAACGCAATTAACTTGCTGTCCATTAAATATGTAATTTCCTTTCCTGTCATTGATTTATATTCCGAACTCACTGAGAGCAACTGTTTGCAATTGTGTGGAAATGTTTAGCGTTACTGTGGTTATCTATTTTGATCGTGAACCGGGTATTCGAAATAGCATGACCTAATCTATGGTATTGTATCGTTGGAGTCTCTAACCCAGCATCAGCGTAACGTTGATCACCCGAATCAGTGTAATCTTATTATTGTAGCATGCCGAAGAAGAAAAGTATTCTGATACTGCCGTTATTGCTTTTGGACAAAGAATCGTCTTGAAATGAAAACATTCTTGCTAGATAACCGCTTCAGTAGGCTCTAGATAACGCACTCAAAAATGATAATGTAGATAGTTTTGAAAGAAAATGTCAAAAACTATATTTTTGTTTTGTAAAGCTGTTGTGAAGCTGCCATACATTTCCCTTCATTTATTTAACATAATCTAAAATCAATGTTGATGTTCATTCACTTAAAGTAACTTTCAAAGTTTCCGTTCATTATCAACATGACGAGCTAATGTTACTAAAGTTTTCGATAGTCTACAGAAACCCCTGTATCTATAGTTAACGTTTGTCGTATTATCTGTCAACAAGGGATATTCATACACCAGAAGACTAAAACTGATCAAATTTGTGTCTATTATAATCGCAACTAGAGGGGTTTAATTCATTTGGGTAACCTACTGTAATCATCCTTGATTTCGACATTAAACAACGTGAACTTCTTTCTGCGAAGGAACCAATATCGAATTGACGAGTCTTAAGCAACACAAAACGTTTATGCCCCTTTTTAATACAATAAATCTTTCAGTATTTGGTATCCATTCAGCTTATTGATCATACTGTAAAACTTGCTCGATTGAATTCAATCACAGCCAACTGTAATATAGCGCAATCTCATCTTTGTTATTAGTACTTTTAGTATCAGTTTAAAGTAGTAGGTTGTTAGGGGAACTGTGATTCGGCTTCGGTCAGGTGTCTAGTAATGATCAATTACTATAAAGTGAGGTTCCGAGAAATTTCTAAAATAACTATCGAATTCTCAGACAGGCAGACATATACAACGCAGAACTTCGTACGTACATCAGTTCAGGTTGCCATGCTGCTTTAGCACAGAGACGCAAATGTCAGTTCAAATGCCATAGTGGTGGAAATAGTAGAAGGATTAACAGTAATGGAGAAGATTATCCATCTAAGATATTATATAAGAAGTATAGTTCAGTGAGATAACCTTAGAAAGAAAAAGATAGAGATGATGAGGAATTCAGAAGGTTAGAATTAGAGAGAACACAAAGAGTGGATGTGCCATGTTTTGGTTTGGCCGCCACCAGCTTTCTTCCAAACTACACCACCAAACAGCTCGTCGAGACAGTCGGCGTTTGGGCATTTGTAACACATGTCCCAACCACCTCAACTGATGGAGTTTCACTACTTCATCTATTGATCTGCCATCCCTTCCTAATACTCGATTCCTAACGACTACATTGCTTACTCGGTTGTCCCAGGATACACGAGCAATGCTTCAGAGACATTGATGATCGAAGACTAGTAACCTACGAAAGTGCTCTACTCTTAATGGCCATGTTTCGCATCCGTACAGTAGGACGGAGCGAACTGCTGTACAGTACACTCGTCCTTTGGTTAACAAGCGGATATCTCGCCTGCGCCATAGGTGACGCAGGTTGGCAAAAGCCAACCGAGCTTTCTGTATCCGTGCTGAGATTTCGTCAGTCACGAGGCCATCAGCACTGATGAGAATTCTGAGATAAGTGAAGCGGTCTACACGTCCGACTACTTCACTCCCTATCACTAGTTCAGGTGCCGTCGCAAGTCAATCTTGAAGCAACATTTTGCATTTCGAGGGGGAAAACCGCATCCCGAACATGCTTGGATTGTTGCTTAGGGTAGTCAGAAGACTGCATTTGTCAGCGTCTTCACCGAGTAGAACTATGTTATCGTCATATTTTAGGTCAATTATCGAGTTTCTTGGTAAAGGTCCACCCCTGAAAAGTCAGACGAAGATAAAGTTAACTCTAAGAGCATGTCTACAGTGAAGTTAAATAGGAATGGAGGCGGTGGACAGCCTTGACAGTTTGCCATAAGCTCTCACCCGGCCAGTGATGTCCCAGTAGTGAGCTTGTATAAGGTTAATGTATAAGGTACACCTATTGATGATAGACACTACCACAGGACCTCACGACCGATAGAGTCGAACGCCGCCTTAAGGTCGAGAAATTCTACTATTTTGGAACGTCTGAATGTGTCTTTGTTCTAGGACCTGACGTAGTGTTAATATTTAGTCTATACATCCACGTCCAGGTAGAAAAGCAGCCTGATTTTCTCTAGTCTGCTCTTCACGAGCACTAGTAAGGCGTCTAAGTATAATGGAGGCCAATATTTTAGATACCATATTAGTTAGACTTATCCTTCTGTGATTGTCACAAGAGGACTGTTTTCCTTTGTTGTAAATTGAGACAATCAGGGATTGACACCAGTTGGATGGGATTTCGTCCAGTCCCCAGATTCTGCCTGATATCTCAGTCAATTTCACTGTTAGAACTGAACCACCATCCTTAAAAATCTCGAGAATAAATCTTTCAATTCCTGCTGCCCTCCCTCGCTTCAGATTTAGCAACTGAGACCAGTCAGATTGGATTACGTCCAGTTACCAGATTCTACCCAAGATCTCGGTCACTCTAACTGTTAAAACTGGACCACCATTCTTAAACATCTCAGGGGTAAGCTTATCAGGACCTGTTGCTCTACCTCCCTTAAGATTTCCTATAGCTTCTTCAACTTCATAAAGTCGGAGGACTTATATCGATAATCCATTCAGGATGACTAGGGATCGTGGGTAACCGAAGTGTGTCTGAAGACCAGTTGAACTGGTCCCTAAAGTGTTGTGCCCATCGATGCAACCTCCTGGATTGAGGATGAATAATATTCCCATCCTTTTCCGAGATATTTTCGCATTCGGATTCCTAATACTGGTTTCCTTGATAAGGCGGAACAACTGTCTGCTGTTGCCTATTGCCACTGCCTTTTCCACTTTATTTTCTTTCGCCACCCATTACTGTTCGCGGTCATTGCGTCGGCTTTTTATCAGCCTGCGCCTAAGCTAACTCTGTTCCTCATCGCACTCCGAGCCAGATGGGTAAATCGAGTTGCCTCTTTATCTTGACATGGTGAAGTCAAGTGAATGACGCTACTCGGATCCTGTATGCGCGCTTCGGAGATGCAACATGCATCGATGGCGCGAGATTCTAAAGTCTTAGCTAGGGAAGCCTGTTGCCCTATTTGACACAATGTCCGTACATTAAATGCTCCAACATGTAGTTTAGAACGGGTCTTCAAGAGACCAGGAATAACGTTTCGAGGACTCGAATCGTTTGCAGCAGAGGTGCGGGGAGATAAAGGAATGTGAGTAGAGTTAGTCGTGGAGATAAGAGAGATGTTTAGGGGTGTAGGAAGGATTTGTTTTTGACCAATTTGGTCTCGTGTGCTGTTACTGGTATGAGGGCGGTTGTCACTTCCCGGCTGCCCACACCGTGGAAGGTTGTTTCTTGAGGGAGCTGAAAGAGAAGGTAGATTGGTGTTGGTCTTAGCGATCTGGGAGCGTGACTGCAGTGCTCAAGGGACAACTGATTGAGGCCGGTCACGTACGCCCGTTTGATGAAAGGTTTTTTGAGTATTAGCTCCGCTCTTTTTAAAAGCCTTTATTGGTCAGCCCTTACCACCGGAGACGGAAATCCGTGACGTAATGTAAGGCGTGACATTTTAGGGTCGACATTCTCTAACCCTCCCTTTCTTGTGAGAAGGTTGTCCGAGAGAAACATTTTACTGCTTTTACACCCCTCTTCAGTCAGTAGTACGACTTCGCCCTCAGATCTTGGGTAGCTGCTTTTAGTCTGATCGTTCTCCAATCGACCTGCCTGGCTTGGTAGAACCTTCAGGAACGTATGTTCCAGCCAGTATAGCTCTGTTGGGTCATCACGATAGGCAAGCCCGACCACCACCTGAAGGTAGCAGCTACGGTCGGGCCGAACACTGTCTGATCTTCTTATGGTTTTTTCTTTTATAATCAGTTTTAGGAGTTTCAAAATTTTATAGTATAGTAATTTTGGTGTTTATTTGATCAATTTATTTTATCAGTGTGGCTCATTTTGGGCGGATGATGGCGAACTTAATCAACTGCGTTCCGAAGGCTTTCGTTATGTTCGTCTACCTCTTCGTGATAATGATATTTATTTTATCCCACGAAATGTTGTACATCAATTCAAATCTGTTTCAGCTGTATCAAGTATTGCATGGCATGTTCGTTTAAAAAATTATTACGACCAACTACAACGTGATGATACAAGCGGAATATCTGAAAGGAATAATTCTAATGTAAAAAATCCCATTCATGCGCATCATTCATCTAACTCCAGCATACCAACTCCTGAGCTATCTGTTAGCGATATAAACAGCGATGGTAATTTAAAAAAGTCACCTGGAAATGTTCATTCATCAGTTAATCAGTCATCTAGCTGAAACGTAATCAGATTTTCTTGTATTTTGTTTTAATCAATAATATTTGTTTTTTTGCAAAACAAGACTAATATTGTTATACTTTATATTATCGTTTGTATAATCCTCAACATGGTATCACTTTCATTTAGGATTATCCTTAGCATTGCTGTTAAATAGCTTTGTACGCATTTATTACTTTTTACTGAACCTATTTGCAATGTTATATCATCTTTACGTACCATTTAATTCTAGTTGTTTCGGATTACTGTGATTCTGTATCTACTAGCTCCTTTTCTATCCCTTTTCTACTTAAACGAGCGCCTCCAGGCACCAAAAATCTTTTTGTACTAATATGAATTTATTTTATGAGTTTCGGCTTGTTTTGTTTTCCTTACCATGTTTAGTTTCATCTATTTTGATTTTCTCTCCTATGTCCCTACTTTCTGTTTGTTTTAAAAAATAAAGTAATTTCATAAATCTGCATCAAAAATTGTATACGTTTGTGTAAAGTAATGCATTTCTGAAATCCTTTTTTACTTCCTGTTTTAATTTTCGGTAAGTAATTGGTACTATTTCTAAACCGGCAGTTTTGGTTCTGGACTTGTGTTTTTTAGTTAATTAGTGAAGTGTATTTATAAGCCCGAATCGTAATTTCTTCGAAATTCGAATTCAAACAGTGCTGTGTTAGAATAAGAGGAACCACTGCCTATTATCGGGTTGAGATTATTTCTTGCGTAACCAGATTTTGTGAACGAAATATGATGCAGTAGTTCTTGGTACCCCTCAAAACTTATTAATCAAAGAACTCTGTTCAAAATACTGTGCTCTAAGAGTTAAAAGCTCTTTTAAACAGACTATCTTATCTTTTTTTTATATCGCGTGTGTTATGAAGCATAGTAAAAATTCCTTTAGATAAATATCTGTTCAAATAGTAACAGTTGGATTGGGTCACATTTTGTCTTCAGTACGATTTATGATCATTTGTGTAAGGCGGCACGTATATATACGTAGTTTATGTTTAGTAGTAATAAGATTGATGGCTGTTCATAAAATCTATTTGCCTTTCAGTCGCTTATCTTATTTTTTTGTCGGACAGATACCTGATGTTTAACATCTGTTATCAGTCACCAACGTGTGTTTAAACATCTACTGAATATTAGCGCTTTTGAACTAGTTTTCGTCTTAAAGTTAGGATAATATCAAGGTCATCTTGGTTTTTATCTCCTGACCACTTTGTTTTGGTAACTCTACACCTTGCATATGAATAGCTAACAAGATTTGTCTTCAAGCAGTTTGACTATGGTATGCAATGTTATTACCGATTCGAATTAGATTATCATAAATTCACATTTCTAGTGCGATTCACTGAACTGATTCCTTCTGTAGAGTCAAATGTGTTAACAAGTGAGAAAGTTTCAGGCTTTATTGAAACGTCTATCATTTTCGATGCTTCTCTTCATAAAAACTTGACATTAGTTTTGCATTCATTAAGAGTTCGCATCTACTGCCTCATATGGAATGAAACCCTAAACTTATAAATGCTGCGAGGATCACTTGGCTGAAACCTAGGGGTTCATTTGATGATCCAGTGTAAGGTCTTCGGCATACCACCTATTGAAAGAAGTGATCTCCAACTTGGACTTGCAGCTCTTGCTCCGTGGACCGCTGGACGGGATTCCTCAACCGCCTATTTCGTGCGATCGTTCCAGTTATCTCCAAGTGCTATCCGTTTTTTGATGTCTGTCTCTTATTCATTAGTCTTCCATTTTTACTCCTGCCCTGAAGATTCCAGGTTAGAGCTTGCCTTGTGACACAGTCTGGTGACTTCTGTAATGTTTGTCCTACACATCTGCAGCATTTTTTTCCTAATTTCCTCTTCAGATGGAAGTTGGTTTGTTCCCTGATATAGTAGGTTGTCACTGATAATTTCCGACCAATCGATATGAATTATCTTGCATAAACAACTGTTTTTAAGTGCCTGGATCTTTTTAATGATGATCATAGCAGTTTTCCAAGTTTCTGCTCCATACAACAGAACTGTCTTGATGTTTGCATTGAACCTTTAACTTTGGTGTTAGCCGACAGTTATTTTTAGTTCCAGATGTTCTTCAGTTTTAGGGCTGCTTTAATGATCTGATCCTGGGTCTATGAGGTTCTCATCTTATAAGTGCTTATTTGGAGATTATCAGTGCAACTAATTGTGCGAGGCATTTTCTTCTTCATGCCTGGAGAACAACAGAACCTTTCTCGAAGTTAATCTTCTCTGTCCTGCTTGCGAAGAAACTTTACTTACACTATGAGGCGTCATAACTCTCATGAAAGAACAGCTTCTAACTACCTGGGGAGAGTTTAAATGGTCTGAATTATTTTTTGTTGTCAGCATCTTTTAGCGGGTTCGTTTTCTACGGGATATGATTAATAACCCCATGTTCAGCCCTCCTTCATCCGGGTTCGGGACCGGCAATAACCCCAGAAAAGCTTCAGGCATAGTTCTCAAGCTAGAATGAAACCATTTTTCAGTACCCTCTTCAGAATAATAATTCTTCAGGGCTCCAGTCACTTACAACGCAAAACTTCGTACGTACATCGGTTCAGGTTGCCATGCTGCTTTAGCACAGAGACGCAAATGTCAGTTCAAATGCCATAGTGGTGGAAATAGTAGAAGGATTAACAGTAATGGAGAAGATTATCCATCTAAGATATTATATAAGAAGTATAGTTCAGTGAGATAACCTTAGAAAGAAAAAGATAGAGATGATGAGGAATTCAGAAGGTTAGAATTAGAGAGAACACAAAGAGTGGATGTGCCATGTTTTGGTTTGGCCGCCACCAGCTTTCTTCCGAACTACACCACCAAACAGCTCGTCGAGACAGTCGGCGTTTGGGCATTTGTAACACATGTCCCAACCACCTCAACTGATGGAGTTTCACTACTTCATCTATTGATCTGCCATCCCTTCCTAATACTCGATTCCTAACGACTACATTGCTTACTCGGTTGTCCCAGGATACACGAGCAATGCTTCAGAGACATCGATGATCGAAGACTAGTAACCTACGAAAGTGCTCTACTCTTAATGGCCATGTTTCGCATCCGTACAGTAGGACGGAGCGAACTGCTGTACAGTACACTCGTCCTTTGGTTAACAAGCGGATATCTCGCCTGCGCCATAGGTGACGCAGGTTGGCAAAAGCCAACCGAGCTTTCTGTATCCGTGCTGAGATTTCGTCAGTCACGAGGCCATCAGCACTGATGAGAATTCTGAGATAAGTGAAGCGGTCTACACGTCCGACTACTTCACTCCCTATCACTAGTTCAGGTGCCGTCGCAAGTCAATCTTGAAGCAACATTTTGCATTTCGAGGGGGAAAACCGCATCCCGAACATGCTTGGATTGTTGCTTAGGGTAGTCAGAAGACTGCATTTGTCAGCGTCTTCACCGAATAGAACTATGTTATCGTCATATTTTAGGTCAATTATCGAGTTTCTTGGTAAAGGTCCACCCCTGAAAAGTCAGACGAAGATAAAGTTAACTCTAAGAGCATGTCTACAGTGAAGTTAAATAGGAATGGAGGCGGTGGACAGCCTTGACAGTTTGCCATAGGCTCTCACCCGGCCAGTGGTGTCCCAGTAGTGAGCTTGTATAAGGTTAATGTATAAGGTACACCTATTGATGATAGACACTACCACAGGACCTCACGACCGATAGAGTCGAACGCCGCCTTAAGGTCGAGAAATTCTACTATTTTGGAACGTCTGAATGTGTCTTTGTTCTAGGACCTGACGTAGTGTTAATATTTAGTCTATACATCCACGTCCAGGTAGAAAAGCAGCCTGATTTTCTCTAGTCTGCTCTTCACGAGCACTAGTAAGGCGTCTAAGTATAATCGAGGCCAATATTTTAGATACCATATTAGTTAGACTTATCCTTCTGTGATTGTCACAAGAGGACTGTTTTCCTTTGTTGTAAATTGAGACAATCAGGGATTGACACCAGTTGGATGGGATTTCGTCCAGTCCCCAGATTCTGCCTGATATCTCAGTCAATTCCACTGTTAGAACTGAACCACCATCCTTAAAAATCTCGAGAATAAATCTTTCAATTCCTGCTGCCCTCCCTCGCTTCAGATTTAGCAACTGAGACCAGTCAGATTGGATTACGTCCAGTTACCAGATTCTACCCAAGATCTCGGTCACTCTAACTGTTAAAACTGGACCACCATTCTTAAACATCTCAGGGGTAAGCTTATCAGGACCTGTTGCTCTACCTCCCTTAAGATTTCCTATAGCTTCTTCAACTTCATAAAGTCGGAGGACTTATATCGATAATCCATTCAGGATGACTAGGGATCGTGGGTAACCGAAGTGTGTCTGAAGACCAGTTGAACTGGTCCCTAAAGTGTTGTGCCCATCGATGCAACCTCCTGGATTGAGAATGAATAATATTCCCATCCTTTTCCGAGATATTTTCGCATTCGGATTCCTAATACTGGTTTCCTTGATAAGGCGGAACAACTGTCTGCTGTTGCCTATTGCCGCTGCCTTTTCCATTTTATTTTCTTTCGCCACCCATTACTGTTCGCGGTCATTGCGTCGGCTTTTTATCAGCCTGCGCCTAAGCTAACTCTGCTCCTCATCGCACTCCGAGCCAGATGGGTAAATCGAGTTGCCTCTTTATCTTGACATGGTGAAGTCAAGTGAATGACGCTACTCGGATCCTGTATGCGCGCTTCGGAGATGCAACATGCATCGATGGCGCGAGATTCTAAAGTCTTAGCTAGGGAAGCCTGTTGCCCTATTTGACACAATGTCCGTACATTAAATGCTCCAACATGTAGTTTAGAACGGGTCTTCAAGAGACCAGGAATATCGTTTCGAGGACTCGAATCGTTTGCAGCAGAGGTGCGGGGAGATAAAGGAATGTGAGTAGAGTTAGTCGTGGAGATAAGAGAGATGTTTGGGGGTGTAGGAAGGATTTGTTTTTGACCAATTTGGTCTCGTGTGCTGTTACTGGTATGAGGGCGGTTGTCACTTCCCGGCTGCCCACACCGTGGAAGGTTGTTTCTTGAGGGAGCTGAAAGAGAAGGTAGATTGGTGTTGGTCTTAGCGATCTGGGAGCGTGACTGCAGTGCTCAAGGGACAACTGATTGAGGCCGGTCACGTACGCCCGTTTGATGAAAGGTTTTTTGAGTATTAGCTCCGCTCTTTTTAAAAGCCTTTATTGGTCAGCCCTTACCACCGGAGACGGAAATCCGTGAGGTAATGTGAGAAGGCAGCATTGCTGCATCGCGAAAACCGTTTTATGACGAAGACAATCTTCAAATTGGAATCACCGCAGTTTGTATTATTTTATTTAATACAATTACATCTGAATAACCAGACTAGAATAACTTGACGTCTGAAATTCTAATTTTTCCTAATATTTAGTGAACGGATTGAGATGTTTGCTTATATGCTTGTACCGTGAATAAATGTTGCTTCGATAACCATTATATAAAGTATTCGTTTTCTACTTTAAGAACTGGTGATATAAAG